CATATACTTTGTTCTTAACTCTATTCTTAATTCCAGATTTTTTTGGTTACAATTTCTCTTCCCTTAATCTTTGTTATTTATTTTATTCCTTTGATCATGTCTTGTTTTATTACTTTGATTTGTTTAGATTTAATTATGTGCGAGTGGTTTTATTTCTAGGATTTATGGGGATCCATAAATAATATGAAGGGGTAATTTATTGTTGTAATTGTCAATGCTAGATTAATTTCCTATTGATTGATTTAATGCTCTGTGACTAGATTTACGCAGATCTTTTATGCATGAGTTTGACAATATTGATTCGAGATTCGAAATATGAGAATTGATGTTTAGGTTTAGTTTCAGCAGGCAGGTTAATTTATAAATGGTTAAGTCGAGATTCGAGAGATGAGATTTAATACCGGTAAATTAATTGTGTGATTATAATACGTAGCGAAAGCCCTTTATAATCTAATTATATTAATTTATGCATTGATAATTGATTATTATGTTTTACCCTAGAATATTATTTATTGGTGAACCTATGCCCTAGGCCTTTTAATTCATTAGTTTTCTCCTTATTCTTAATCTTCGTAGTTTAGTTCCTTTTGATTATAATATTTTGGTTACTTCATAATCTAGATTATATTAGTTAATTAGGAATAAAAAGACTTGTTTCCCTGTGGATTCGACCTTAATTCCCTATCTATTATTAGTTAGTAGTTTTAGGAATTACTTTTGATTAGGTGATACGACTTTAGCCTGTCAATTATTAAATTTCTTATTTAATTTGATTATGCCTCGAACGATTTCCCACCATATCTCTACCCCAAATAATTTGATAATTTGACGTAAACTACTTCGAGAGCTAACCGGGTAAGGATAAATGTTACTTATGAGTGATGGACGTCTTGTGCATAAATCAAAAAGGAAAATACAGCGTCAGTACTCCTAGTAGAAATTATGATCAAGTATAAAGTCACATAACCCCCCATATGTTCATACTTACGATATATGCGTTCCAAGAGTTTTAATGCACAATCTCTTTCACTTTACGCTGTTTACATTCTATACTTGGTGATGACTGTCAATTCACAACATAATCAATCCATACAATTCATTCAGGTAACAAATATTTCAATTTAATTCTTGAATAATTAGTAATCACAAATAATTTAATGTGGAATCCTTTTAAAAACTACCCCGACTTTAAATAAACAACTTAAGAGCATAATGCACCGCAAAATCCTATCCCTCGGTGTTTAGAACACCTTAAGTGCACATAGCCACAACAGTTCATTACTAAAAAAATATTGAAAAAATGTAAACTAATAATCCCACCTTTAGTCGGTCTTCCATAAATAATCCCACCTTTTGAAATTCCAGAAACAATCCCATCTTTGATAGGGATCTTCCACTAATAATCCCTTTGACCTACAACCTGTTAAATAGGTTAAAAAAAATTTCCCTTTTTTTAAAAAAAACTTAAACTCTTCTCCGCCCACCAGTCACCACCATGGCCACCCCAATCCCCACCCTTTACCGTCACATCCACCCATCAGGCCACCACAAAACTCAAACCACGTGGAAAACCATCACCACCCCCAAAACCCAAACCCCGCCCCAAAAACTCCACCCATAGCCCCGAAAATCCCCACCAGACGTGAAAAAACTTAACCCCTTTAGCTAAAAAATAATCCATCTACGCCAGAAAACCATCACCACCCCAAAACCCAAACCCAAACCCAGCCTCGAAAACACCACCCACAGCCTCGAAAACTTCCTCCCGACCCTAAAAACTCAACCCTTAGCCTGAAAACTCCACCCTCGACCACACACTTTTTCACCACTTAACAAGAATCCAAACCTCGAAGCTTCGCCAAAAACACCAATTCAACCAATCGTGAACCTCGTCAATATCAGATGGAACGACGACATTTCAAATCAAAATTGGGGTCAAATTATGCTCTCCATTGACCGTTTCCACTCGTGAAGGACGTCGGCCGGTCGGAATTTACAGCATTTCACCAATTAAGACCGTAATCTCTGTAATTGAAGGTGTCGCCAAGATGAGGTCAGAGAGATCTTGACGACAAAATTAGAGCGGTGATGACAACAGTCTTCCAGAGGTTGGAGAGGTTGGGTTGCTGGCGAAAACAAGGGCGGGGATGAGGAGGGGAAGACAGTGGCAGGGATGGGGAGGGAAGGTAGTGGCGGGGATGGGTTGGGGAGTTTTTGTTTTATTTTAATTTTTTTAATTAATAAAAATTAGAAGAAACCTATTAAATCCCGACACGTGTCTTATAACCTAAGAAAATCGATTACCAAAACAGTTTAACCGGTCAGGGATCGTTAGTGGAAGATCCCTCTCAAAGGTGGGATTATTTATGAAATTTCAAAAGGTGAGATTGTTGGTGGAAGACCGACCAAAGGTGGAATTATTAGATTACATTTTTCCAAAAACATTTTCGAACTTCAAACTACTAAGCAAAGACACGATTTTTTCTAGCCCTAAAATCTTTTCCCATGAAATCAAGCTATTTTTTTAATCACTCTATGAAATTTGAATGAAAAAGGATATGAAATGAGGAAAATGGATTTGCTGTACCTTTCAATTAGACACAGTTGGTTGAGGCTAGTAATTAGGGACTTCTTAGTCTTATTTTTTTTAAAGGCTAATCATGATTAAGAAATCAGCTAATTATATCATTAATATTACTAATTCAACTCCAATCAGTTATATTTAGTTCAGTTTAATTTAGTTCAATTCTTAATTTCCTTCTATTATAATTAACTAGATGTAAGCCCGTGCGATGCACGATTCTAATAAATTATTTTATTTAATTTAAAATTTTGTATATTTATGAAGATCATTCATTAAATATATGGATAAAATTTCTAATATCATAAGATAAATTTTTAATTTTAACACTAAAGTTATCTTTTGTTGTTTTATTAATTTTATGTGACGCTTGAATTTAATATCTCAAACCTTATTCACTAATTTTGCTTATATGACAATTTAAATTTTTAATTCATAAAATAAATGACAAATCTAGTTTTTTTAATTGATCAAAATAAGTCTTTTGGCTATGTGTTTATTTAATATACTCGTTCTATTTAAAATGGTAGTCTAATTTATAATTGTTTAACTATTAAAAATTATGGGAAATTAGTCATATGAGATTTAGCTTTATTCGTCTTAGTCTTTTGCCTGTGCATTTATTTAATATACCCGTTCTGTTTAGAATGTTAGTCTCATTTATAATCGTTTAACTATTAAAAATTATGAGAAATTAGTCATATGAGATTTAGTTTTATAATATTTGCTAGGAAAAGATTAAAAATATTTGCGATAAAAAATTTGCATTCATATAGATAAATATATTTGTTTTTATTTTTATTTTTTAAGAGAAGATAATTATAGGTTTTTAAAAATAATTTAAATTTTAATTATTCTCTATTCGTTGTTTTTACGTATCTGTCAAAATTCTTAAATATTATTCGTCACTTTTGCTTAGGTGGCGAGTAAATTTTTTAATTCTAAAATAAATTATTAATCTAATTTTTCATTGGACAAAATAATACCTTTTCTTATGTGGCGCGCCAAATACTCCAGAAAAATGCCTACTTTATTTATATATATTAGATTTTCAGTTTACTTTATTTTATTTCAATTCAATTAATCAGAACGGGCCCTAGAGCCCTTTCCCTAAATAATGTTGGGAAATTATCTAATTCTCAAATTACAGCTACTCTTTTTTTAATTCCCACCCTACCGTCCACGTCACCGGTTCAGTGGGAATTTGTTAAAAAAACGGGTTTATTAGAAAACCGCTACTTCAAGTAGCGGTGTGCTACTGAAAACCGCTACTTCAAGTAGTGGTTTACATATTAGAAACCGCTACTGAAGTAGCGGTTTGTATTTACTAATTACTGATTTACAGATATTTTGTTTTTAAAGAAAAACTTACAAAACAAACCCATAAACCGCTACTTGAAGTAGCGGTTTACAAAATTAAATCCGCTACTTGAAGTAGCGGTTTGTTGCTGGACCGAGAAAAAAAAATGGTTTGTTTTCCTTAGCTGACGTGGACGGTGGAGCTATTCAATGGACAGAGGGCCCATTAAAAGCCCTGTCCCAGCCCAATTATAAATGGGCTAGGCCCGTCCAATTATTAAACATGTCGGGTCCTTAAAGGGTCAGCTAACCATGGATCCTTACAGGGCTGGGTTGGGCTCTTATAGGGTTTATACTTTTTTTGCTGGACTCTTATAGGGTCTATAATTACTAGTGTTTAAAATTTAAAACAAATTTCCAAAGAAATTTCCTCCTTTGTACCTTGTACGTGACTTCACTTCATCTGAAAATTCAAACACCAAGCAAATTTCCTCAAATTTCCCCCAAATTGTAAACCCTTAAAATATTCTCCAAATTTCCTCCTCTTCCTAAGTTAATTTTTTCTGTCGTCGCTTTACCATTGTCGATTATCGTCTTCAATCACGATTTGGTTGCCCAAACTCTTTAAAATAAAGATACTTTCTCTCTCCTCTTTGGCTCTTTCAATTCCAAACACTCGTTGTGTTTATTTAGTTACTTTTTCTTTTGATCTGAGCAATCTAGTTTTCGTAAGATCTCAATTTATTCTTGAATTTTCCTATGATTATCAGAACTTGCAAGATTATACTGAGGAATTTCCAGTGCTGACCTTGTACATTTCTTTGGAGTCACAATAATTTTCACTTTCTCAAGTTACATGTCATATGTGTTATGCAACATTAGATGTACTAACTTGTAATTCAGGTTTTTGGAGGAGTAAAGGCCCATTAAAGTTCCTTTGGAGACCCATAAGTGGGTTGTATTACTATTGTTAGATTTTTCCGTTTTCAAAGTTTGAATGGGTCGGGTTGGGCCGGATCCAATAATCCAAGACCCAAACTAGCCCATTTCAAATCAGCCTTGACCCTAGCCCAACCCGGCCCATTTAACTAAGGCCCTGTCCAGCCCGAATCCGACCCGTTGAACAACACTAGTGGACGGTATAATGGGAATTAAAAAAAGAGTAGTTGTAATTTGGGAATTAGATAATTTCCCAACATTATTTAGGGAAATAATTCAAGTTTAACAAAGAGAATTTCCACCGTTAAAAAAAAAAAAAAAAAGAATTTTTTTTTTCTTATTTCCCCTCCTGGCCTCCTCCAACCCATTATTGCTCCTCTCTATGTCATCCCTTTGCTAATTAATTTTCTGTCTCTTAGAATTCTCCCCCAAGTTGTTTGATGAAAGGTAGATGATTTAAGGCTCCTCCTTGAAGCTTACTCTAACACTCTGAGTTCTCCATCGAAGCGGCGTTTGAGCTTTCTCTCTTCCATTGAAATAGTTTGTGAGGTAAGATGGTTTTTGCATATCATCGAATATCAATCTCCCTTTGAAGCGTAATCCACGTTTCCTTGGTGGTTCAATTCCTGGGTGAGGATTGATTGGGCTAAAATTGGAGCTTGCGGCGATTCTCGGCAGTGCTGCTAGTTGCGAGTTGGTGCAACGTTGGTTGGTGGTTCGGCAGCTACTATGTGGCGGTTGTGGGGAGCTGCCTGGTTGCTGGCTTGGTGTGTGAGGTAGCAGGGGTATTAGTGTGGAGGGACGGCTGGGGTGTCGGAAATTGGGCGCAGGCGGGAATTGGCGGGCTGGCGCCGCCAGCGGAGGGGGTGGGCTGGTTGGGGAGGATTTTTTTTTTTTTGAATTAATCAAATTATAATATAACTAATCTTAATTAATTAAATATTGTTAATTCTTTCAAAAAAAAAAATTTGTTAATTTTTATAAAACTAACCTCACTTAAACTTTCTTAACAGCCAGTTAAACTAATACAAAGCACTATATTGCCTATTGAAGAGCACTCAACGTTCATTGAAGCGCAGTTGACGTTCTCCGTTGAATCGCACGGCGCCTTCTAATAACTTGTATCCCTCATTGAAGCAGCTTCTCAGGTAACTTGTTTCTTTTTGTTATTTCGTATCAATTTCACAATTTTAGGTTTATATTTGATCTAATATAATTTCATTATTAGTGCATTAAGTGTTCGAAAATCTCAACCAGTGGCAGACCTACCCTTGGTCCAGGTAGGTCACGTGAAAAATTAAAAAAACAAAAAAACGGACAGTCAGTACTGGAAGGGAAAAGAAACAAAACAAAACCATATTCAAAATCACGCACTCTCATCCTCTCAAATCTCAATCTCTCTCTTCGCTCTTCGCCGCCGCACCGCCAGTCGCCGCCGCACCGCCTCGCCATCAGCGTACACACACACTCGGACTCGGCGTTCTTCGACTCTTCTTGCTGCCAAGTAACTAAGTAAGTTTGTTTTTAAGTTTTTAAATTTGTAAATTATACCCAAATTGTTGAATTGTTGGGTTGAGTACTTGAATTTGTGATTAATTGAGTTGATTATGTAATTTAATCTAGTTAATTAGTGTGTGTTCTATTGTTTTTTGAAATTGTTGATAATTTATCAATTTAGGGAGTTAGGGTTTCTGATTTTTTAGGAATTGAATTGCTGCTTTTTTTTTTATTTTTATTTTTATTTTTAGGAAATGAAATTGTTTCCTGTAAATTGATAATTTGATATTATAAATTGTTTCCTGTAAATTGATATTATAAATTGAGTTAATTGACAGTAAAATTGAGTAATTGATGATTTCATATTAGAACTTAGGGTTTCTGGTTTTTTTTTTTTTTTTTTTTTTTTTTTTTTTTTTTTTTGGAATTGATTAGTTTGGATAATTGCATATGTGGATTGTAAATTGAAGCATTTGTGGTTTTCTTAATCTAATTGTTAATGTAACTTAATTTTCAGAATGAAAAGGAAAAAAATGTGTGATATGACTGATATCACAAGTTTCTTTGGTCCGAAAAATCTCACTCCTCCACAAAGTCCTCCTCCTCCACAAAATCCTTCTCCTCCACCTCCTCCTCCTTTACAAGATCCACCTCCTTCACCACTAAATCCTTTTCCTCCACCTCCTCCACCACAAAATCCTTTTGCTTGGTTACTCATATAGAGCGAGATATGTTTTTGAATGTTGACATGAATGATATTATAGATCGATATCAAAACATGAAAACTCGTAGAGAGCAATTGTAATTTCCTTTATTTGGTTGTAATATGGAAATTTATTACTTTTGGAATGTATTTTTTTTTAAATATTAGCTTTTTTTTTAATATTCTTGCATTAATTATTGATTAGTAGTCGGTGGTGACCTAGCACCCGAAAAATCCTGGATCCGCCACTGATCTCAACTATTGGTTCTAATTACTAATATTATGAAACATCATTACCAAAAGAAAAGAAAATTTTGAGCCTAATTTGATTATTTAATCAAAATCTCCATAAATTTATGTATTTTTTCAAGATAATTGAATCAAATTTGGTTGCAAATGCATTGCACAACCCTTTAATCTTATTTTCAACTATGAAATTTGGAGTTTACGGGGCTACGGCAGTGTGTTTTTATGATTTTGTGGAATACTAGTTGTGCGACCGCGCGCGATAGATCATTAATGTGTGATTAGTTAGTGTTGTTAACAAGTATGTCGTATATATGTTGTTTGTAAAATGTGCTAACAACTATACCATATTAAAATGTATATAGGATACATAATACTACGTTTCTTATTTGTAGTCATCAGAAATGAGTTCGATTATTTGTTCACTATTGAGTTTTATTTTTGTTTTATTTTGATAAAAATGTATATTGATGTTATAGTGTTTTATGATTCATTCTTATTTTCACTCTAAATCTCTTAAAACTTATGTGATCCTTTATTTTTCTCTCCATTTATTCTTTTTATAAATTTGCAAATATTACCGTAAATCCCTACTTGCATATATACCTTCTTCAATTCGCATGATTTCATATATATATGAGACGACTTATCTCTCTTATTCTTATTAAACTTATTAAATCTCTCGCCCTTACACACACTCTCTCTCTTTCTCTAATCTCTTTCTTCCTCCTTTTCTTTTTCGAGATATATAGCTATTTAGGGTATTTTTATCAAATTTTTATGAAATATGCAAAGTCATATCTTTCCATATTAGTGGCTTGACAGGCCAAAGTTGTATCACCTAATCAAAAGTAATTCCTAAATCCTCTAACTAATGCAGATAGGGAAGTAGGGTCGAATCCACGGGGAAACAAGTCTTTTTATTCCTAATTAATTAATATAATCTAGATTATAGAGTAACAAATTATTATTATCATTATTGAAGGGAAACTAAACTACTAAGAGTAAAAGTGGGAAAGAATAAAAGTAGGAGGAGAAACAATGAATAAAAGACCTAGGGCATAGGTTCACCAATAAATAATATTTTCAGGGTAAAACATAATAATCAAACATCAATGCATAAAATCAGATCATAAAGGGCTTACGCTACGTATTATAATCACATAATTAATCTACCGGTATTAAATCTCATTTCTCGAATCTCAACTTAACCATTTATAAATTAACCTGCCTATTGAAACTAGACCTAAACATCAATTCTCATCTCTCGAATCTCGAATCAATATTGTCAAACTCATGCATAAAAGATTGGCCTAATCTAGTCATCAATAGGAAATTAACCTAGAATTGACAATCAACAACAATAAATTACCCCTTCATATTATTTATGGATCCCCATAACCTTAGAAAGAAAACTACTCGCACATAATTAAATCTAAACTAAACAAAACAACTAAAGGAGACATGATAAGGATCAAAGCAAAGAGAATAAGTAATAAAAGAGAGAAGAGATAGTACCAAAAGAAAGAAATATAAAATTGTATAAATTAAGATTTTAGGGAGAGAAAAATAAGAGAAAGTAATACTAAGAGTTTAATTCAGAGGAGAGAGAGAAAAGTTAGAGAGAGAAAGAGTAAAAAATAAAACAAAGTAATAACAATAATTAAAAACTAAACTAAAAAACTCATCTAAACTACCTGATACTACCGTACTCCCTTATTCCCCTGTATATAAAAGAAAAGTTAATGGCCACTAATCCCACTAACAATCCAACTCCTAACAAAATCCTTTGTAAAGTCTAAGAAGCAAGTCACTCCCTACGTAAAAACCAAAGCTATTGAGCTGTTTTGCATCAAGGTCCAACCGAATCAAAGTAGCAGCAATAATCAGTCTCTCGATCGGGCCCGCTATCCTTACACCCAACAGACTCGCGAGATTGGATCTTGTATCTTGAATTGGGCTGGTTCAAAACTTGAGCCCAGCCTCCTCTTTGGACTTGGCTGAAATACTAGCTTGTAAAATTTGGACTCTTCACCAATTGAGCCCTTAATCACCGAATTAAATTCCTCTAACTCGGTCTTGGGCTTAAAATATTTGGTCATAAAATACGATCCGACTTCATTGTCTTTGTAGTGGCTCAATAAGATCGGGAATTGTCATAAAAATGTAAATTCCTACAAAATAATACCAACTCTACAAAAACACTAGAAAACGTATATTAGTATTAAAAATAGCTCCGCAGAGCTCAAATAAGCACAAATATGACCGTGGGACGGGAAATAAAAATATATATAAAATAGACTCATCATGGCTCTACCAAAGTTGACAATTTGAAGACAAATCTTCATGCCTAGTCCCCCAATCTGGTGAAATAAATTGACCGCTTGCTCTCGGGAAATGATTTTAGCGATTGAGCGTCTTCCATGTATAAAAATCCGTTATTTTTAATATATGTTTATTTAGATTTAACATGGAAGGCATGATGATTTGTTTTTCAAAACATCAAAACTTCTCACCTACTTCGCTCTCAACTTAAATGTAACGTCATGTGGGGCCCACTAACTACCTTTCTTTCTTTCTTTCTTTCTTTCCCACTCAATTTCTCTTTCCCATGTATTGTATTTCTCTTGAAATTGGGGAAACACTTCAATTCGTGAAATAATTAACATGAATATATAATTTAATTTGAAGTTTTTACTCGATTGGGAGAGGATTACAATATAGGGGAATGGGAAACTGAGTGTGATAGGAAGAAAGTGAGGAAAAAGGGTGGGAAGGTAGTTAGTGGGCCCCACATAACATAACATTTGAGTTGAGAGCCAAGTAGGTGGGAAGTTTTGATATTTTAAAAAGTAGTTGGTGGTAAAATTAAAAACAAAAAAAACTGTAGGTGGTAATTGATAAAATGGTAATAATTGTAGGTGGTAATTGTCAAAAACTCCTAAAACATACTAATAACTAATAATGCTACATATATCAGAAGTCAAATTAAATGAAGAGATCACAAGAAAGAAGTATTTCAAGTTTTTTTTTTCAAAAAAACACAGAGAAAGTTCTCATCCGCCTAATAATCATCCTTCTAATCTTCAAAACCCACACATTTTTTAAATTTAGTTTTGTAATTAATTTGTCTTAGCTCATTTTGAACTTATTATATGTTGCGTTACCCCTCGATCCGCCACTATTATATGAGCCTTTTTTGCTACTCCCTCCATCCCCGAAAGAATGACCCATTTGGCCTAATTTCTGTCCCAAAAAGAATGATCTATTTGTTTTTCACAACATCTATTAAAATCACAAAATTACCAAAATATCCTCAAATTTTTTTGTCATGTAGCTCTTTCTCCCTAATTTAGCCATATATTTTTTCGGATGTTTGTGCCACCATTAATTTTTTGTTCCCCTCTTTCTCTCTCTTCAATTTTTCTGGGATTTGGGTATTTTCTTTTGAAAAACCCTTGTTTATGTTCTTCTCTCTCCTTAATTCATCCCCTTCCATAGACAATTTGGAGCAAAAAAAAAAAAGGGATCGGCAGTCTAGGTGTGTTTGCGAATCAAAGCCCTTAAAAAAAAATTCGAAAGTCACATATTTGCTGCAATTTGGTATGCGTATCTTATATTTTCTCTGTTTTTTTTTTTAATTTTAATTTTACTTTTTTTTTTTTTTGTAAACTATTATGCTTAGTTTGTGTGATTTGTAATTTGTGATTGTATAACTTTGAATGATGATGATTTTCTTTTTATCTTGATTATTATAGTGTTTTCCATTTCAATTATTTGGGTTTTGAATTTGCCTTGCAAAATTTGTTTGATGTTGTGCTGTATAATTTGGATTATATTTTTCAAAAAAAAATAAAAATATGGATTATATTTTTAGGTGATTAACTCATGTGGGATTGACATGATTACTTGGGTGATTAACTCTTATGGTACAATTATTTTGGGTGATTAACTCATGTTAGGGTTTGATTATGTCCGGGTATCATGTTATCATGTTATGGACTGATGAATTTGGGCGATTGATTCATGTTATGGAGGGATAAATATTTGTGTCTGAAGCCATGATGAAGCAGGCAATGATGAAAGTGGATTAATTTTTTTTATAGTGTTTACTGATTGTGTAAAAATATTTTTAGAGGGAATGAAAGTTTTCTTTTATACAGTAAAAGGAGGGAAATCTGATTTCATTTACCTCCCATTTAGAATTGCCACCTTGGCAATCTTGTGTATTTTAATGTTATTGGTTGTTGTAAAACAACACTTTAATCTTATTGGCTAATAAAATATCACATGGATTAGTACATAGGATAAAGAAAAAAAAAAACCCAACAGGTTTTGTCGGTTTTGTCTTACATCTAGGACTTTCTCTCTCTAGCTATTAATTGCAAATGATTGCTCATTTATATTTTCCATACATTTGTACTAGCTAATTAAGTTTCTTATTACCCGCATAATCAACCCAAATGGGTCGTTCTTTCGGGGACGGAGGGAGTAGAATTTAATCAAAATTTTGTTGCTATTGTGTTGCAGGCTGTTGTTTGCCACCCTTTATTGTAGGACGGAACTATGAAAATAGGCCTTTGCTCCATGGGTCCAGGGCAGCTGCCCCTCCTGCCCCGGCTCAAGGGTGGGCCTCAATGTTCCATTCGGTTTCGACCTTGCATTGATATACACAAGGTTCATGTTCTTTATTTTTAAGACTTTCAAAATTTATGATGAAAGTTGTGAAATAGTTGATTTTATTGGTAAAACTATGGTGATTTAATGTATTTTTGTAAATTAATGGTGGAAATTCTTATCCTTGTTTATGTGATTGTATGATTGACAATGGTTTTTGATGGGGTTAACTGTTATTGGCCTAGTTTCAGAATTGCTATTTTATTTTTAAATGGTGAGCACTTTGATTCTTTTTGAGTTACACTATGACTGATTTGTTGGTTTTATGTTGTTTTTTCTTTTCCAAATTGATGGTGGAAATTTTGAACCTTGTTGATAAGAATGTAAGATCACTGTAGGTTTTGATGGTAGAAGTGTCAATTCTTATTACACTTTTTGTTGGTTTGATAAATTTCACAGGGAAAAGTGAAGCAAATTGTTGGTTCCACCCTTTTGGATTTGAAAGAAGGAGGATCATCATCATCAGCTCTTGTTACTAATTTTGTTTCTGATAAGCCGTCAGCTGATTATGCTAGGTTGTACAAGGATGATGGGCTTTTGGGTGGTCATGTTATCATGCTTGGCGCAGACCCTTTGAGCGAAGCTGCTGCAATTGAAGCCTTGCATGCATTTCCTGGTGGTTTTTTTTTTTTTTTTTTTTTTTTTTTTTTTTTTTTTTAATTTTGATGGAAATTACTATAATAAGGTTAACAATAACAAGATTGTCGATGTTACTATTATAATACATAGGTAGTAATTTATTCCATTCTATTCAACAGTTTCTCTTTCTCAAGTGTTTTTGGACTATGTCTTCTTTATTAGTCTTGGACTCTTGGCCTGATCTTCTCAAAATATGAGATTCTATTGTCCTTTGAAAAATAGCAGCTTGCTTTTTACAAAGTTTCTTAGTAGCCTCATCTAGACAACCTAGTTGTCTTTCTTTTGCTTCATAAACTTTTCAGTATATTTTTTGTTCTGTAAAAATGTTATATCTAGAAAAGAGAAATTTAATGGCTAATTTCATTATGACCACCTTCTCATTGTTGATCAATGTCTGTTCATAATCTGATTATTGAGGGGATTGTTTAGTGTGTATTTATCTCAACTTGATTCGGGTCTTTGGCCACACAGTTTCAAAATGTATCTCTAAAGGTATGTCCAGAAAGATATTCCATCTACTGAACTAGAATGGTAACCTTCTAGGTGGTATGCAGGTTGGAGGTGGGATTAATTCCAAAAATGCATTAAGATATATTGAAGAGGGAGCCAGCCATGTCATCGTAACATCAGTAAGTGATTTCAGTTTGGTACTAACTTTAAGCACCTTTTGTTTTTATACATTGTTGGTGTGGAGATGGGGCAACCTAGATAGGCGTAAATTTTGGCTCACTGGGATTTGAAACTGATTTGAGTTGAACTATTGAAAAGTTTTGTTGTCTCACATTCTGGGTGTCATTGCTTTATTTATGATGACTATGGTTGTAACTCTTGCAAGTGTTATAGTATGCGCCGTCGTGTGGGATAACTTGCTATATATAAAACTAGCTGCAATACATCTGAACGAATATTTGTAATGAGTTGACTTATAAGTTGAGTGGAAAAAGAGACAAGGCAGAAAAAAAAAAAAAAGAAAAAGGCTATGCAGCTTAACCTCGACCTATGTTAGATGGACTCGGGAGCAGGTGTTAGACACAGACACAAATCCAATTGTCTGTCCGGCAAGTTCCAGAATCCAGAATTTAAGGATATGGGGACTCTGCCCAATGTATGGAGACTATGGACACACGTAATTTGACCTCCGTTTGAAAAGAAAAAAACAAAAATCCTGTCCTTTCTTCAAAATAGAAAAGCCCACTAGCCCAAGCTATTACCTAAATGCCACCCAATAAAAATAAAATGAAACACTCCTGATACCCTCTAGCCCCACTTATCCATTAAGAACCTTCACTATTGAAAGCACATAAATCTAACCCATGTGACTTTTTAACTCTTTGAACTTCCACTACTAATTTTTTTTTTGTTTTTTTTTTTTTTATAATATTTTATAATATTTTTTTATGTATATTTATTTTATCTCTTTCTGTGAATGTGTTCCTATCTTTGCCCCAAATATCCTATTTTCTCCTCCTCCTCCAAGAAGCATTTTAATTACATTCTTCTCTTTTTTCCCTTGAAGTGTCCAAAGGCACAGTGACAAACACGGATTTCGTACCCATGTCTGTGTCATGTTGTGTCGACATGGGTACTGAGCTATTTGCCGTGTCCTTGTAACTTAGACCCCAACCACTAAGGGTAGTTAACCACTAAGGGTATTTATAAATTGTGCATAGAAGACTCACAATTGGCCGTTGCATTTTGTCCTCACTCTTGCGCACCTGGATCTTAAGCGTGCTTGGCTGGGAATATTCTTGGGATGGATGACCTATTAAGTTGCATGAGTGAGTACAAAACGTGTGGGAAAAACTTATGTTGGTTTGTGGGCCAATTGTCACTATGCACATGTAGTAGATAACAAGATATCCTTGGTGTTTGGGGTGTCACACATAAAATGTCTGATTATTTCTATGTAAACATTTTTGTAATTATTAAATTATATTTGAGCCTATTCACTTGGCTTTTGATGTAGGCTTACTTAATTTGGTTTGTTAATGTTTTGAGCCAAACATGAACTCAAGTGAGCCAAGCTTTATTAAGTCGATCTCAAATAGTTCACGAACACGTTAGGCTCATTTTCACCCCTAGTTGGATGGGTGGGGTATTGCATACATATTTCAATGTTCGTACCCATGTTAATGTTAGTGCTTACCAATACTTCTAATATTCAAGTAGTTAGTGTTGCTATATACACCCAGAACCATGCACTTAATCTTTAGATGGTGTCATATAGGTTAATAATCCTTGAATTAGAGGGGTATTTGTAATTTGCTTTATTTATTTATTTTAATAGTTTTACAGCAATAACAAAGCCTTAACCCCAAAATTCTTTCTTTTTTAACAAGTGAAAATTATTGACATTTGGAGGGCCATGATATAATAATCTTTTTATGTTTGTGTTTCACCAAAAATGTTTCTACCGACGTGAAGTTTCTTATTACTTCTTGTTCCTTTCCATCAGGTGTCTATTAAAACTTTGCAAAGAGCTAAATGATTATATTTAGACTATTTTAGTTGAAAATTTTAATTTTTTGTTACATGCAAATGAGAATTTAAAATCCTAATTTTTTGTAGAATATCTCTGCTAAAGTTTACAGACTACTAGCTGAAGATGTTCTTTTTAATGTTTGCTATCCGGAGAACTAGACTTTCTATAAAATGATTTTTGATTTGAAGCACAGAAACAATTAGATTAAGTGATTTTGTCCTTTTTAACTTGTTATATTATGGTGCATTGTTAGATGTATCATGTATGTAATGCCACTTTGCTTATCCTTTTAATGCCATTAATAAGGATTATGTGGCAGCTATGTGTCATTTAATAGACGAATTGACTTTTTAAAATGCGAGTGAGTTGGATAAATTTTACAGTATCGGGTTTGAATATCCTGTTTTACCACTGCTGATATGTATGTGATTTCTTTTTAATCTCTGCTAATGGTGCTAAAAAATTTGCCATGATGCTCTAAAATTTTCCCTTGTGTTTATTGCAGCTTTCTTAGACTGTCTTATTCAATTCATTATTTGTTCCATTGTTTTTATTTGTTCAATTGTGCTTAACTTCTCTTAAGCAGAAACTAGGTAGCTTCAAATGACTACTGCACAGTATTTCTTCTATTTTTGGTTTCTTGAAAATTCCCTTTTCAAAGCGTATTATGCACTACATGTTGACTTTACCTTACACGTGATTGCAGTATGTGTTCAACAATGGGCAAATGGACCTTGATAGGCTTAAGGATCTGGTCTGCACTGTTGGAAAAGAAAGGCTTGTATTAGATTTGAGCTGCAGAAAGAAGGTACAGCTCTCATGTTAGATCCTCTCTCAAATCTTAAAAATGTGATATTTCAATCAATATAATAAGCACAATATCTAATCATTGAAGAGAATGCAGATCCTTAAAAGATTTAAGCAATCAGTTTATGCAAGAGTACTTTTTTTACTGTTTCAAATGCTGATTTGCATTACTAATATCAAGCATATCAAAATATTATATGGTCATAGTTCATAGTGGTGTGCAACAGTTCAAATGTTCATACAAATCAAAAACTGTGCCCTAGAAAAAATATGAAGGTCCAACCATTTCATATGGTAACTAAAAATTGCTTAAGTACGCACAAAACATACCCTTCATTACAAATGCATTAAGAAATCATGTATATAGGAACAATAAATTAGAAGATATTGAGATATTCCCTCGGTGTTTTTTTTACAAGCTAGAATTGGGATTTTCCACCATTCATATGTCATTGACTTGATTTTTTTACCCATATATAAAACATAAATTTGATCATATAATATGTTGTTGAATTTGTCATAATGTCTACTTTTAAAAATTAATTTTTTTCATAATGTTTACTAACCTCTAATTAAAGATATTGATGGTCAAAGTTGTGTCTCAGCAAATATAACTCTAGCTTAAAACAAAAAAAAAAGTTAAAAGAGGCTCGCTTGATTAAATGAAAGCGATTTTGATAACGTTAATTATGATTGAAATACAAATGAAGAGGAAAAATATCTCGACTTCTCATTTATTTGAATTAACTAGGCGGCTAACGTGCGAAATGCGCGCGTCATAGCTAGCATGTCCGGATGTTCTTTCTGTTTGGAATTGTTAGTAGCGCTAATTAGGGAAAATATGGGAACAAATATTTTTAGGGTTATAAATGTCCACACACTATTTTTAAGAGTTACAAAAATAAATACAATTAAGAGCTAGATTAGCCCTAGGTCTTAAGATTCTAGATGACATCATTTTCAAATTTTGCGGTCTTAAGACAAGACTTTATTATTTTTAAGCATTTATGAAGTTTGGTCTAAATAAAATCGAAGTGGAGTCTTGAAAATTCAAGACTCAACTTCAGACTCAATTTAACACTCAATTTTTTTAATTTATTTTTTAAAAAACTATAATACTTCCTCCGTTTTTTTATTATTGCACCATAGGGGTTGGGTACAAATATTTTGGTAATGGAAAAAAGTAAGAGAGAGAAAGGTAAAAATACGAAATTGCCCATGTGACATATTGATAAACTAAAAAATAAGTGTGAAAAAGTAAGGGTATGTTGGGTATTTGTAGTGTGAACACAAATAATTTTTTTCCTAAAGAGGAAATGGTGCAATATTTGTGAAACTTCCTAAAAAGGCAAGTGATGCAATAATAAAAGAACGGAGGAAGTAATTTAATTTATATGTAAAAAAATGAGTATGTGTGATTGAAGAGATAAATTTTATCTAGTCTTAAGGAGTCTTAACATAATTATAAATTAAAAAAAACATATTAAATTTAATCTAAAAAACTGATGTGGCAATGAGTTAAAGTCTTAAGATGAGACTGTGCTAATCTTGCTTTAACATTAATGAGGGCAAATATATAAATAAATATTTTAGGGAAATTATCATCCTATTCATAAAGTGTGGTCATTACTTTAAGGGGTAAATATATAAATAAACACTTTAAGGGGTATAATAGTCTTAATAAGGTAGGGATTAAATAGATTAAAAAAATTGACAATGATATATCATTTTACTATGATATATTAAGATTGACAACATCAACAACAATAACATCAACGAAGCCTTAGTCCCAAAATGATATGATATATTAAGATTGACAATGTTACAAAATTATTCCTATGTTAGAGATATATTTATTCACTATGTTCTCGAGATGGGATAGAATTTGCACATTAAATAAATAAAAAGTTTAGAAGAAATTAGCATTGGGGCTCTTTCTTCATGGGATGTAGGACCCTGCAAATGTCCATTATGTCTGGCCTTGGTCTTGGTTCCTTGGGAAGTCAGCTGCTGCACTTGATCTTTCTAAGATATTGAAATTTGTGTTCCGTCAAAGTCAATCCACCTTAAGTTGATCATAAAGTCATAACCCTGCCAACTTGCCAAGGGCTGAATGTTGATTGGTCTTAAGGCAGGGTCAATAGCCCATTTTGTCTCGTTTGTCAAGTGGCCTATGCTCACCCTTTCAAGATCCAAGGCTGCAATTAATCTTGTTGACTGTTCCCTAATTTCGTTTTATTCTAATAAAGAACTGCTGTGCTGATTCTCTTGTAGGAAGGTAAATATGCCATTGTAACGGACAGATGGCAGAAATTTAGCAATGTATATGTTGATGAGCAGACTTTGGAATTTCTTGCTGCCTATGCTGACGAGTTTTTGGTACATGGTGTGGATGTTGAAGGCAAAAAGTGAGTCTGAGTTTCGTTTCTTCTTTGCCCTAGTCATTTCATTATCCTTGGGCTTGATCAACAAAAAGCCTAATTTTAATTCTACGTAGTACATATTATGGACAAATCTTTAGCCTGAAGACTTGTTAACTGTCACTTAGAAATTTTCCGGAGACTTGAAGAGTTCACTTTTGTTCTTGCTACATCAGATTGAGTATGGTATAATTTGACTGCTTGATTATTGCAGATTGGGAATTGACGAAGAGCTTGTTTCTTTACTTGGAAAATACTCACCAGTAAGTAAACAGTGTGTTTGGCTGTGTTCTATATTTCTGATATTTTAACACTCATATGCTCAGCAATTAGGAATAACTTTTCTTTGCTTAAATTTCCATATTGATTGAAGGGAAGTTATGTTAACAACTGCATTATATTAATGCGTTATGTTGAGGTGTTCTGAAGTACACTTATGTGTAGACGGAAAATAAGGAGAATGTTTTCAATCTTGGTCTTTCTTTTTGGTTCTGCATACCCCATACGAAATTATACTACCAGACCACAACATTATCTTGCAGGTGGTGTTAAAAAAATAAGGAAAACACAAGATGAAAGAAAAACCTCCGTCTAGAATACATTTATACTTTGAGTTTAATTGATCTGTCGCTGTGATAATGCTCAGAATTAATACCATGAAAACATTATTGAAAAAGGGCCTCTCAGATTATCAGATCTTAACTATAAAATTACCTTCTGCTCTATATTTACTTCAGGGCTGTTAATCCATTCACATTGTTTACCCTTGGTCTTGGCAAACAGCTGCTGATCTCCATTTTGGTTAAGCATTTTCGACTCATGGTTAAGTGGTTCATTGGCATGAGCAGTCTTATTCATTTTTTTTTAAAACATGACACTAACACCATATATGGTAGGATAAGGAGTTAAATCTTCCTGCAAGGTTCTTATATTATGGTGTATAAATTGTACTATTTAAAGAGCATCTATAGAATATATAATACTACCTCCGTTAAATGTTATTTGCAACTTTGGAGGAGTTTGCGGATCACGATGCAAAATTTGAGGGGTGAAAATTAGTGTAAGTTTAGAGGAATTAATTAAAGTAGAGGAGAGAGAAAGTCTGACCCCCACTTGCATTTTAGTGGGGAAAGCTGTCAGTTTTTTGAGGGAAAGAGATTTCCCTCTTAAAATTTCATCAAATTTTCAAACAATTTGAAATTTTTGGAGATTCAAAACTCCCACCATAATTTAAAAAAAAAAAAAAACAGACTTCTACATTAAAGTTTTAGCATTTAAGAGGCATATAAAAGGAGCCTCATTTAATACAAGAGCATTCAATGTTTCTCCCAAAAGACAAGCCATGAAATTGTTACCAATACACCATTAGTTTTCAAAAGTTAGCACTAAACACATTCACTAATGCCCTAATTATCCAAAAAATTATCATAAGTCAAGTCAGTGTTGCTCATCATCTTCACAAATCAGACGCTTCATTGGCTTGGCACCTCCATCATCCATATAGCCTAACAGGAACGCCCCTTCTTCACAAAAAAAAACCAGCAGGGACCCCCGTTTTATCAACCTTGAGCTGAAAATTTTCAAGTGTAGCAAACGTCATGGCAGAGTTAGAAGAAGGGGTGTTTTTGGATGTTGAGCAACTATTAAGTGAGGAAGAACTAGCAGAGCTCTACTATGACTATGAAGAACACATGCAAGATTATGGCTTGTGTGATGATTCTGATGATGAAGAAATGGAGGAACAGGGGCAGCAAGACAATGATCAACAAGGACAGCAACAAGCAGAAAACAATTGTCTTTGCACAAGAAGAGAGAGATTGTAGATGCAATCTTACTCAAAATGCATAATGCCAACTTACCAAGGGGGTACATGCAAGAATTATCACACAAATTCAATGTACACAAATCAACAATCACAAGGGTATTCAAGGACATCAAAAAACAGTTGGAACAAGGTGATGTGATTGATGTCAGGTCGAAGAAGTATGGCAGAACTGGGCCTAAACCAAGGGAATTTACTGATGAATTCCTACAGTCAGTGCCTCTGCACCTTAGGCAGACAGAGAGGAGTTATGCAGCTGCCTTGAAGATATCTCATGTTACTCTTCACAACTTAAAAAAAAAGGCACGCTCAGAACACATACAAGCAGCAACAAGCCAGCACTCACAAGTGACCACAAAGTTGCAAGACTGAAATGGATTCTGTCACACATTAATCCCATCATTGGGAATGAAGACCCTACATTTGAAAATATGGATCATGTCATCCACATAGATGAGAAATGGTTCTATCTCAATCCAGATAAAAGGAGATTTTATCTCCTTCCAAGTGAAGAAGACCCACACAGAGTTCAACAGTCAAGAAGATTCAAACTCAAAGGCAATGTTTATGGCAGTAGTGGGAAAGCCATTGTATGGCAGAAATGGGGAAGTACTACATGATGGGAAATATGGCATGTTTCCTTTCACAGTCAAGGAGCAAGCAAAAAAATCAAGCAAAAACAGGCCTGCAGGAACATGGGAGACCAAGACAATACAAAATGTGAACAGGGAGGTCATTAGGGAAATGTTGTTCACAAAAGTAATACCATCAATCATCTCAAAATGGCCAGCAAGTCTAAGCAAAAATGTGACAATACAATGGGACAATGCAAGACCACACCAGATACCCAGAGATGAAGAATTCATTGCAGCTACTACAACAAATGGGTTCAACATTCAACTGGTGTTTCAGCCACCTCAGTCACCAGATTTGAATGTGCTTGACTTAGGGTTGTTCAGGTCTATTACCAATCATTTCCTAGCAACTTGGATGAGCTAGTGGAGAAGGTCATTGAGTCTTATGAAACATTCAAACCAGAGGTGAACAAGTACATCTGGATCACTTTGCAAAAATGCATGATCATGATACTACAGGCAGAGGGGGGTAACAAGTACAAAATTCCACATATGAACAAAAAGAAGCTTGAGAATTTGGGCATTTTGCCAGACAAGGTGGAGGTGCAAAGGGATATAGTGCTAGGAAGTGTAGAGTACCTAAACACAATGTTTAGGCCAGCCACTCAAGGGACTCAAGATGCAGCAGAAGATATGGAGGTGGATGCAGATTAGGGGACTCCACGAACAAGTTTTTGCACAATGACAACATTGACTGCCACACATAACAACTTACCTTTTTTTTTTGTAAAATTTATGGTATGGTTAATGAATAGGTGGTTAGGTGTATTTTGTTGATTTAGAGTGAACTAACATGTTAGGCAGTCAAATGTAAAGTCTTTTGATGATGTGCATCAACTTTTGTAATCACTATTTGAATGAAATGACAAAGACAAGTTTTTGCTGTGTTGTGAAAATACATGTCCATCAGAAGGTGATAAATGGTGTTGAATACTACACTTCACAACATTGTTACCTCAACAACAATCTCAAACAAGAGATTATTGGAGCAAGTCTAATGTGTTAAGTGAAATTCATTGGAGTCCCTTCATCATATGAACCATACAACTGACTAAGGGTGGTATTTCATACAGGCAAGGGGGACTCCATACATTCATGGGGCACATAACAAAAGGGGGGGACTCTTTCAAGCAATGGAACACCAACCCATAGGCATTGTTCTCTACAAAATATGATCATTGAGAACATTGTATACACCACACAACAAAACAAACACACCAAACTGAACTCAGCATTCATCATTCATCAATCACAATCCTTTGTTCCATCTTTATTGGTACACAAACAAGGAGATCAAGGCAACACACTTTCAATCAGACAAGCAGCATTAGGCATCATTATCACAGGAAAAAGTACAGCATACACCATATCCCAATCATTTGACAATACCACCAACATTATTACTAAAACATGATATGAACAACATTCCAACAACACATGGTTTATAAATCAAGCAGATCCACCACAAATAAAAAACAATCCAGCAACATATGGGCAACAGGACTCATGTAATTCACCAACCAACAACATAATCCAGTAAAAAAACAAACAAGCAAGCCCAGAACACATGCAGGAATTAAAAACAAAGCAACCAAGATATATGAGGGACTCAAGATTACAAAATTAAAGAGATTAGGGTTAGGAATCGTTACGAAAGCAGTCACTCAGAGGGTTGAACCGAACGGTTCATCCGCCTCACATAGCATTTGACCACAGGGACGACTGAAGAAAGCATCCAGAGTCAGGCATATTGGCAGGAGAAGGAGAAGCCTCCTCCATATCCTCATCCTCATCAGAAGAAAGGATGATGAACTCATGGTCTGGAAGCCCACGCATCCTCCGAAGAGCAACACGCGCCGCCTTCCTCGTAGATCTGACCTTGGGGGGTGACCTAGACCTCTTAGATCTGGCCTTTTTGGGAGCCAGAGCACTCCCCAAAGCAGATTCAGCCAGATTCAACCACCCTGCAAGAGCAGGACAAACAGAACCGCCAGATTCAGCCACCATATCTACAGGTGCCTCCTTCCCCTCCTCCCTCTTCAACCGCTCCTCATCAATACTCTTGAGCACTTGACCCGAAGCTCTGTATGTGTACAGAGTACAGTAGCCACCGGTTTCAGCGGATTCGTAGAACTCATGAGGAAAAGGGTTGCCAGTTTCAAAGCAATGGAGGAAGTGGTTGATCAAGTTCTCCTCACCCTTATCATTTGTTGCTAAGTACGCATCTTTCAAAGGATCAAGGTTAATCATTTTCGTGGGGGACTCTTTTTCTGAGAAAATGGAGAGGTGAAGAGTAGATCTGGAGAGAAGTAGAGGAAGAATCGAAGTAGAAGAGGAGAGAGAAGGTGGGAAACGATGAACTAGTGTTCATCTTCTGAAGAAGATTCAAGAACATAAAGGGAAACCCAACCATCAAAAATTAATTTTTGGTGGTTGGGGAAGTGAGTAAATGAGGAGAGAAGGAGGGAGATGTGAAAATAAAGGGAGGGAATCATTAGGTTAGATTAATCTGATTAGTTTTAGGTTAGTGAAATCTGATTAGTTTAGGAGATAATAAGGGTAATAATTAACAAAAAAAATTTAAGTAAGGGTAAAACGGTAATTTCATGCTTTTTTCTTTACTAAAAATGGAAATAAAATGGAAAGTTGCAGATAACCCTGATCATCCCGAAATGGCAAAAGTTGCAGATAACATTTAACGGAGGTAGTATATAGAATCAGATAGGGTATTATAAATTGCTAAATAGTTATGTTTGATTTTTGCCTTTCACCTGAACTAGAAGTAGCCAGCCCCATCTTTGGGAGGCTTCAATTGCTGTTGTTTTACCTTACGAATATGAGCATGCCACCAAAATTTGTACTGTATATGCTGATATGATTTTTTCTCAGATTCCAGTGACCTATGCTGGTGGTGTGACAGTTATGGGGGATCTAGAAAAGATTAAGGTGGCTGGCAATGAGCGAGTTGATGTAACTGTTGGTAGTGCTTTGGATATATTTGGGGGTAGTTTACCCTACAAAGATGTCATTGCATGGCACCTTAAGCAGGAGTCCGGCAGCTAGTTCTCTATTTTTTGTCATCTTTGAACCAGTTCTCTTCTAGCACCATAATTAAAGACACAGATCCGCTTCACTAGTCAAATTCACCTGCTGCAAAGACCTTAATTTGCTTAACAAGGTGTTATTAATGACTCAATGTTATTGTTGTATTGTCCCTTTAGTCTTGTTTCGAATTGGCCTTGCCATTCTAAGTTCCCAATTTTGATGTTATGCTTCTTAGCTATTTGATTATTATTTTTTTTGGCAAGGATTCTTAAACTGGATTGGCCCAGACTAGACTTTTTATTGAAAGCTATTGAGAAAATATTGGACTGGGATTCTTAAACTGGATTGGCCCAGACTAGACTCGGAATATGAAGATCTAATTTTTTTTCATTCCAATCTGTTCCTGAAATTCTGGTTTGATATGGTTTTGGATCTTTTGGACTTGATTTGTTAGTTTTTTTAAAAAATTACTTCAACATCACAAATTCACATTGACGTTCTAACTTCCAAGTGAACCTAAATATGTTTACTTCTCAAGGCTTAAAAAAAAAAAAAAAGAAAGACATACAAAAAGGGAAAAATAATGTTTAGAAAATTTTGCAAAAACTACCTTTAAAAAATGTGGCAAAAAAACACCAATTTTTATAACAATTTGTTGCAACTTACTACCAATTCAATGTATAATAATTGATAAATCTATACTATTATTTTAAAACAGGAAGATTGAAGGACACGTGTTCACTTCCTGTTTTTTCTGATTGAAAAAAGATTAACCAAAAAAAAAAAAAAAAAAAAATCTTAGATTGACTTTTCTTTTTAAATTTTTATTTTGATTTTACAAGCCCTTCTAATCTTACTGAATCGTCCATTTAAAAAAAAAAAAAAATTTCATAGTGAAGCTTTCTCCAACCAAACTTTGAGTTTTTGCTTAAAAGAAATTGGGTTTTCGTGATCGGTTTCGTCGGATATGTTACAACAAGGTTTGTATTTTACCAATTAAATTTTTTGGTTTCATGTCTGAAATCAGGTTGCAGTGGTGAATTTATTAGTTATAGATTTGGGATACTATGAATTATTGTTATTGTTATTGTTATTGTTATTGTTATTGTTATTATTATTATTATTATTATTATTATTATTATTATTATTATTATTATTATTATTATTATTATTATTATTATTATTATATATATATATATATATTTTTTTTAAGAATTTATATTTTTCTCTCTCTCATTGTCTTATATTGTTAATTGATGCTTCTTTTTACTGTGTTTTAAGAACTTCTGGGTCGTCAAGTTTGTGGTATTGTTTTGACTGATTTGGGCTAGATTTTAGTTTATTTGCATGACAAAATTGGGTTTACGGTATCTGACGACTAATCTGTCTGTGGGAGGTTGAGAAGAAGTTAATTTCCATCTTCAATTGTCACAAGTTTCATATCCAATTGTCATAAATTCCGACAAAAATTGTGAGTATTAGGCCGCAGAATTGTTGTGATCATCTGATTATCCTTAATCTTTGCAATGTTTACTTGGTAAGAATGTACATCTTTTCTGGTTTTATGAAATTCGCTTACATATATTAATATTTTTGGGTAAAATTTACATCTTTTCTGATTTAATGAAATTCAATTTCATATGTTAATATTTTTGGGAATAAATGTTTAAATGGTATTGTTGAATTTTTAAAAATTTATGAGAGTTTTTAGATCAATAAATCACTATACGTTCAATATATATATATATATATATATTGACAGGGTAAAGTCGTATCCCCAAATCAAAAGTAATTCCTAAATCCTCTAACTAATGCAGATAGGAAAGTAGGGTCGAATCCACAGAGAAACGAGTCTTTCTATTCCTAATTAACTAATATAATCTAGATTATTAGGTATTCGATATATAAGTTCGAATATGAAACTAAACTACGAAGGTTAAGAATAGGGAGAAAACAATGAATAAAAGGATCTAGGGCATAGGTTCACCAATAAATAATATTCCAGGGTAGAATATAATAATCATTCATCAATGCATACATCAATCAGATTATAAAGGGCTTTCGCTACGTATTATAATCACACAATTAATTTACCGGTATTAAATCTCATCTTTCGAATCTCGACCTAACCATTTATAAATTAACCTGCCTATTGAAACTAGACCTAAACATCAATTCTCATCTGTCGAATCTCGAATCAATATTGCCAAACTATGCATAAAAGATCATGCCTAATCTAGTCACAGAGCATTAAATCAATCAATAGGAAATTTATCTAGCATTGACAATCAACAACAATAAATTACCCCTTCATATTATTTATGGATCCCCATAAACCCTAGAAATAAAACTACTCAGACATAATAAAAACTAAACTAATTAAAGCAAATAAACAAGACATGATCGAAGGAATAAAATAAACAACTAAGATTAAGAGAAGAGAAATAGTTACCAAATAAATCTGGAATTAAGAGTAGATTAAGAACAAAGGTATGAGAGAGAGAAAATCTAAGAAAACAATTAAGAGAGTAAAGAGATAGATCCTAAAATCGTATTACGGAGGAGTATTTATACTCCTACAAATCCTAAACTAAAAACAAACTAAAACGACGCTAATCGTCTTCTAACAATAACAGGCGCCCGATCGGGCGAGGCACCGCCCGATCGGGCGCGCCTTTTTGCTCTTCAGTACAAATCTCGCGCCCGGCCGGGCGCGTCACCGGGCGCCGACCTTTGCTTCTCCCGCCCGGCCGGACGCACCTCCGGGCGCTAGCCTCTTTGGCCGGGCGGCTCTCTTGGGCCACTAATTGGACTACGATTGGGCTCCAATTCTTCGGGCCAATCTGGATTTCCTCTTTGGGTCTTGAATACTCGGTCCAATGCCCTGGTATCACCTATACCGAGCCCTTAATCACCGGTTCGATGGCTCTAACCGGCCCTGGGCTATAAACTCTGGTCATGCTTCTCCAATGCTCGTGATTGCTCCAAAATATCTCGGAAAAATACTCCAAAAGTGTAAATCCCTGCAAAAGTCAACCAAATCTACGAAAACAATAGAAAACACCAATTAGTAATAAAAGTGACTCTAAAGAGCCAAAAACACTACTAATTATGACCAAGGGACGGGGGTAAAATACTATATAAAATAGACACATCATATATATATATATATATATATGTATATATATTAGAAAGCTGTGCATTGCACAAGTTTAAGACTAGTTTGGCTAAAAAAGAGGTAATTTGTAACAAATTTTTTATAAGTGATGGTCTTTTGCAACATTATATTTAAAAGGTGGTTATATGCAAACTAAAAGGTGGTTTTTTTTTGCAAAGTTTCTTAATATTTACGAGTAAAACTAAAGTGCTATATATGGTCGCTAATTAAATATGATGTGCATATTATAAAAAATGGGAATTTCATATGGTCACTAATTAAATATGATGTGCATATTATAAAAAACGGGGTTTTCACCAAATGTCCTTGTCCTTTTGCAAAATTCACCAAATGCCCTCAATTTTTTCAAAATTCACCAAATACCATTGACGTTTGTTAGTATTCACACCGTGACCTCAAAATACCCCTGACGTTAAAGGTTCATCAGCAATAAAATTTAATTTACCAAATGCCCTAATTTTGTTAAATAATTACACAAAATACCTCTATTTTTTGAGGTACAACGACTAGTTTGAAATTTAGGAAACTAGACGTTAGTTTTGATTCTCACCCTTTTTTGCATAAATACTTACACACATAGCAGTCCTCTTATTTGTTTAACCATAATTTTAACATCATGAGTTATATGTCCAAATCATATTCCTTAATGTATGAGTAATCTTATGTAAGAGTTGCAAACAAATATTGTAGTTGTAGGAGAAAATTTGCAACTAGAACCTCTAAGTCCGTTAGCCCGCAAACAAGCCCAGACCGTTTACAAGGGCGGGTATGAACAAATTGTCAAGCTTGCATAAAAGAGGCTTGGGTTTGCTATATTAAGCCTGTTGGAAAATATATGAACTATAAGCCTAATCCGTTTCATGTCTACGCTCGCAAAATTATTATCTCTACTTCGTTTGACCCTATTTTTTTTCTTTGTTTGCCTAGTCTCCAACACTTTTTTTTTATGTATAGAGGTTGTTTGCAACTCTTACGCACTCATACATTGAGGAAGAGGATTTAGACACATAACTCATGGTGTTAAAATTTGTGGTTAAGCAAATAAGAGGGTTGCTATGTGTTGAGTATTTATGTAAAAAACGGTGAAAATAAAAACTAACGGTAAGTTTTCTAAATTTCAAACTAGTCGTTGTACCTAAAAAATAGAGGTATTTTATTTAACAAAGTTAGGTCATTTGTTGAATTAAATTTTATTGCTAACAGACTTTTAACGTCAGGGGTATTTTGAGGTCACGGTGTGAATAATAACAAAATTCAGTGATATTTGGTGAATTTTGAAAAACTTGAGGGTATTTGGTGAAATTTTCGAAAGGTCAAGGGCATTTGGTGAAAAACCCGTAAAAAAAAAAAATAACTCCAAATACTTACATAAACATGTAACCATATATCTTAAATGCTTAACGTGATTCGTGCCGAGTTACTCATGGAGAAGTTTATCGGGGGAGGCTAAAGAAGTTTTTAAGGATGGCTTGGTGACTTGGTGTGGCGGGTTGGTAATGTGCCTTTGATGACTGGTTGCTTAAGGAGGGTGTGGTAATGCCATTTGAGGTGACTTCGGAGAGTAATCAAATGTTGCGAGTGGTGGACTTGATTAATCATCATAGTGGTGAATAGGACTAAGATTATTGAGAGTAGTTTTGCCCCGATACCTATAGTATTATTCGTGCACTCGTTGCCTGGTGACAAAATGTATTGGAGATTGACTAGGGACTAGTTATATGCTTAATAAATTGGTGACCAAGGGGTTAGTGGTGAAGTGTGGCGTGTATTCGAAATATGGAGTTATGGATGCCCCTCCAAAGCTCTAACACTTTTTTTGGAATACTTTTAAAGATCATCTAGTTGTGAAGGAAAGACCCATGTATCACCACATTGTTGAGGTGGCGAGTTGACAGGTTTGCGGTGCACAAAGTGAAACCATATTACATGCTTTGTTTGACTGTAAAGTAGCATTAGAGATTTGGAACCAATGTCACCTGAATGACAAAGTTATAGCTACCCTTGCTACTTCCTTCTCTGATCGATAGCTATGGCTTTCCAAGGAGTTCTGTGCTTTAGCCTAAGATTAGTTGTTGCTTTTGTGTGGGCAGCGTGGTGATGTTGCAACATGCAAGTATATGAGAACAAATAGCCTTGCGCGGTTATGGTGGCCTCATGCTTCTCTAGCTATGTGTTACGGTCCGGGAGTTTGGACCCGAAACGTGCAGCGCGCTCTAGC